TTCAATTCCTATACCAGCCTCCAGTTGCCTATTAGTCCTCTTTAATTTCTTTGTATATATATCAGAATTGATAAAGTAGTTTTTTAACGCTACTAACATTGTCCCCGACACCACTGCGCATCATTGTGTGTTGACGTCATTAATCTGTGCATATTGCATTTAACGGCTCTTGTACGTCGTTGGTGTGTATTACTATAGTGGGTAGGGCTTTGTCGCATGAGTTTGTATGCCGCTAATACGCACAAGCTTTTACGTTAGGTGTATCTTGTAGCATGGATATTCAGTCCTGTGATTTCATGTACCAGGAATTTCTACTTTGGCTAACACATTAACAGTACAGCCAGTTATATCGCCACCCCCTCTACCCCTACCCCCCGCCTCCTTCAAGCGATGTTCTTGCAGCATGTTTCCCAGGAAGACCATCAGCGCAGTGTTTTCTTTGCGCCAAGAATGCAATTAGCGATCGAATTGATCGCCGAGTAATTGGAGTAGTAAATCACGTACTATGGTTGCTGACTATTAACAAAGAATGGAAGCTGCATAAGCGTAAACCAGAAAAGGAAACAGAGACAGAGGGCAGGGAGTTTAACAACGAAGTATAGCCGTAAATAATGACTGGGGTTGGCTTCAAAAAGTTTTTTTTTTTTCAGAGAGCGTTTGAGCTCATACATGTGCACTTCATGACCGGACATGTTGGCGACTGAACAATAAAAAACACACTTTTTTCAGTAACATTCTTTATTAACAGCAGATTCCTGTCTCGTAGAGAAAAATAGATGTCCTTTCGGCTAGGTTCTCGCTGCTCATCGTCTCAGCAGCTTTCACACCATTCCTCAAACGTTCCAAGATCATCAGAGAAGCATCTGCTTATCAGATATCCATCGTGTAAGGTCTAACAAAAAGAAACTCACGAATACATGTTCTCTAACTCTACAAGCTTCTAAGTGTTTCATTTCTCCAGTTAATATTGCAGGACGGTGTTTGTATCCAAACATCAGCGTTTGACCAGCTATGCTTTTCAACTATACAATACTATGTTTTGCGATAGCGAGGCGATCCCATATATATTACTTTCGTTCTGGCACATGCGCAGCTCATGGTCTTCGCAAAGGCATCAATACAATACGCTGCTGAACGCAGGCCTAGTAGCTATATAGAGCTTTTGGTTAGACGTAGATAGCTGTGGCTCTGGTACTCACAATGATTGAATATGACTAGTTATCACTCTTATATAGCGTTACATAGCTGTGAGCTTCCGTGATTACTTTCTTCACACAACTTTGTCGAGTTGAAGCGTGACGGCTAATTGAAGAATGTGGTTCAGAACGTAAGAAGGATACACAATTCTACACTCCCGTTATCAACAACTGGCTAATATTAGTGGTCTAAGCGACTACATTAAAACTTCATTTTATTATTTAGCACAATGACACAAAATGATTACTTGTGTAAAAATGCTGACGATAATGACCAGCCCCGTGACCATGCATAAAATACCTACACTTGCGTTGCCACGCGCGTAAATTCTATTGAAATACATTGCGTGCGTGAGTCGATGGGAACAAGTCATGTGAAAAAAATATCAACGCTAAATGTATTTATAATCTCAATTTACAGATATTCTTCACAAAATTTGCTCTCTCCAAATGATTGTTTTTTTTGTCAAATAGGAAAGACAGTACTAATGATTATCAGTTGCAAGATTGTTCAATGTAGGCTGCTCAGTTGCTATCATTATTTACGCTGTTGTACATCACCACAATTTCTTTCAGCACTGGCTAGGACCGCCGTCACAAAGCCAGTTTATGAATTGTTAGTGTCACCTTTAGTTGGTTTTCACATCCAATACTTTCAGCCTCAGCTTTGGCTGTAATTGACCTTGACAATGAATACAGTTCACCTTTCTTTCTTGAAATACAAGCCTTGTAGCACCCATCACAACTGAATGCGAAGTTACTGACAAAACCAATTTTGTGCATTGGTAGCGCGAAGTTACACACAAAAGAATCCAGCACGTGCTTATCATTGAAAAGATTTCACGTATGATAATTTGTCGCAGTGATAGTGCAAAACTCATTCAGCCATAATTAACGTTCCTGCGCTTTTTGTTAATTCCGTCTCGCCTAGTACTCTGCCAGCCTTTTAGTTAACTCAAATGATAGAGCGACAACACCGTTCAGCTGATGGTACCGGTTTCGATCTCCTCATCCAGGGCTATTTTTTATCTGCTAAGCTTTTTGAGAAGAGCGCGAAGGTCTCTTTGGCAGTATCTGGCTACTTTCTGCCACGTTGTAAGTCTTCCTTAGTACTGCGAATTCTCTCTGAATTCTTATCCAATATTTTTCACATTGTATGACGAAAGCATGTGTTAGCGCAGAGTAACCCTGCATACATTGTAAATACGCTATTGCAATTCCTAACACCGCTGCTCACAATCGTCTTGTATACGTTCGAAAACAGTGCGGCGCGATTTAGAATGCTAGCAGTTCTACAAAAGTGCCACTTACTCACAGTTTCAACCCATTCGCTCTGCGAGCTTCACGCTAATTCTGAAGGCCACCGTTATTCGTGTAACACTCACGTTCTGGTCCACAAGCTAAGTGAAAAAAAAAAGAAAACAGAAAGAAAGACGTCATTCGTCTGAAAAAAAAAATGTGCTAAGCAACCACTAAGCAGTGTCAATCCTCACTTTGTATCGTTCTGGCATATGATACTAAGCGCTCTCTTGCGATAGGTTGAATGCTATCCCGGGCGACAAATGCGTTCTCCGCCCTTCATGATGTCTGGGTCAACATGGGAATCGGCTGCATGGTTAGACACTTATTTTCGCAACCATCACCGAGACAGAATTCTCAAGCATTAGGAAGCTAGCCGGCGTACAAAGCATCCCGTAAAAGGAACACTGTAGTAGAACATAGCCCACATAGATTACGTGTGGGGGCGAGTGATATTGCAATGAACTATCGGTAGTGGCTTTTGAAACTCTAACATTGCATCACTTCAGATCCGAGAACTTTCAGTGAAGAAACGCGATTAAGGTCATCAAGCACTGATCGCGAATGTGCAGTACCTACAAAAGTTTGCTAAACCACTAATATTCATGTGTCAAGAGCAGCGCTAGAGACACAGGGCAGAATTTTTGTTGTTTTTGTTGTGGGTCCCTTGGTCTCACTATTAGTGCAGAGAGTGAAAAAAAAAAGGCGAGTAGCTTTATAAAAGCAGATACTTTGGCTGGTATACGTATTGGACATGGCTGAATAACTACAGCCAGAGTATCGCCACACCACCGGAACAAAAAGAGGTGTCTGGGTGTATGACGCACAAAAGTGTATCAACCTCTCGAAATTTCGCTCAGACAGAACGGTGACGATTCAATATTGGAAGCAGTAAAAAAAAAGCGGTGCTAGAAGAAAGACCAGGACAGTGTCCCGTAGCAGGTTCTAATTTTCAGTGATCATCAACTATCTACCTGGAAAGGGAATTCTCGCTTTCGGAACACATCGCGCCTTCGGTAAATTTTTCCCCTATTTGAGAAGTTTTGCTTAGTTGCATAAATACTTTATTATAATAAAAACTATTGTCCATTTTAGTTATGATTAATACAGTAATCGAATAATTGATTGATCAGTTGGCTGACTGACTGATTATTTGATTTATTATGATTAATTACGTAATTATTATTTATTGATAATTTATTGGTGACCGGTTCCCTTTTAGTGTTGAGATGTTTCTGCAAGTGTCTGTAGCGGAGAGCAAGTCATCCTCAAGGTGGCAATGCCTATGTTCACACGTTATCCCTTAATGTCACCAGATTGCCGATTCTTCTCCGTTTTACTTTCATGTTCTTTTTTTTTTCTTTCTGAAGCAACTTTGTCGTGTGATGTGCGACCCTCTGTAACTTATATTCCATCGAAATTATCGTAAAAAAGTAACTATGATTGGGTACAACTTTGGTACATTTCTTTTCAAATGCGCACACACGCAGTTCCACACCAATGCGCACGCACTCCAGAATGACATCATGTTCCGGAATGCCGGTAACACCACCTTCGGCGAACACTACCGAATGCATAATTGGGACTATACCTTTAGCTGCGGAGGCAATCGGATGCCGCGTTTTTGTCATCTTGGCATGGCCCCTCCGGAGTTCTGAAGCTGTAACCGACTCTAGTCACTGAGGTGTCTCGATCGAGCTTAAAAGGTGCATCAGAGAGCTAACGAGCGAGGCTGCCACTTTCGCGGTTCGTGCAAAAGGGCGTCATACTGGTTTTCTCAAACACATTCCTTGCCCTCCGTGGTGGTCTAGTGGCTAAGGTACTCGGCTGCTGACCCGCAGGTCGCGGGATCGAATCCCGGCTGCGGCGGCTGCATTTCCGATGGAGGCGGAAATGTTGTAGGCCCGTGTGCTTAGATTTGGGTGCGCGTTAAAGAACCCCAGATGGTCGAAATTTCCGAAGTCTTCCACTATACAGCGTCTCTCATAATCATATGGTGGTTTTGGGACGTTAAACCCCACATATCTATCTATCGACCACATGCATAATTTGGAGTGATCTGTATGAATAGGTGGCTTGCAAATGATCATAATGATCGATCTGTTCATGAAAGCAGCTAGCTTATTGCGAACAGTTTTAAATAATCTACAACCACCGCTTTTTCCATGGCCATGTGGTGCGACTACGTAACTTTGAAGACCTGCGCTTCGCGGACATTGAATGAAAGGGCAATGGGTTTTGTCATTGGCTACCTGAGTTCCCTCCTGATATTTCAAAAGCCTCGCTTTGTTCTGCTGGTGTGGCGTTGTCGCGAACACTTTGGCAGCAGATGGGTAATAACTGAAGACGACTGTAGTGAGGGGCTGAGAGTCGGTGACGGAGTACGGCACGTGTCGAAACAGTAGTCCACGCATCCTCGCCGTTTCTTCAACTCGCGGGATGCAGCAGCGTCCAGCGATCCCGTAAGCACAAATAGCAACGTTCTTCACTCAAACAGGTGCCTTATCAGCTGTCCTCGGCATACTTGGCGCATATGCGGTTGAGCAGGATCTCACTGTAGACGGCGTTGATGTCGCCTTCCACGTGGTACGAAGGCGGTGGCGGCGGCTTCCCAGGAGGCCTGTTCTTGGGCGCTTGCACGGGGACCACCTGCAAAGCGGCACCAGCTGTGATCCTTCTCTCCAGTTCTTCAGAAAGGAGTTCAAAAGCAATGTTTAGGTGGATATACACTCAACGTTCCCCTTTATAAGGATGAAAGGATGATGAACGAACGGGCTATTTCCGTTCCCATAATTTCTGTGCCTTTACTTCTTTAACTCCGTTTTAACTCCTTGGCCCCATGGGCACATCTATTTATGAACTGGCCAAAGCATATCACGTAATATCCGGGAATTATGTGAGCTCGTAATGTCTTCTTATTACACATGGCGTTTGCAGAGGGATGCAGTAATCGGAACGACGAAGCGCGTAGATAACGCGCTTGTCTTTCGTCGTCTTGCTTATTGTTACATGCTATGTTATGCATTTCTATAAATTGACTGGAGCCTGTTGCACACAGTTAAAGTATAATTGTGTTCTGTGTTTCATACATGATCCCGCGTCATAATCAGTGCTCAAGCCCCAGATATATCTAAACGTTGAGCATTCTAAGCGTGAGCAACGTGAACTTCTTGATATTCTATTGCCTTATTTGTGAGTGATGTTATTGTCCGCCTCGGTGGATCAGTGGCCAAGGTGCTTGGATACTGATCCTATGGCCGCGGATCAATCACGGTTACGGCTCACAATTTCAGTGGAGGCGAAATCGTAGAGGTCCCAGTATACTGTGCGATTTCGGTGCATGTTATAGAACACGAGATAGTCCTAATTTCCGGAGCCCTCCACTACAGCGTCTCTCATAAGCATATCTTCGTTTTTGTACGTGAAACCCTACTTATTACACATATTTTACTGAATGACTTTATTCCGAGAATCTGTGGGCCGTCGCCATCACGCGTAAATCAAGATTTCTGAGAGGGAGTAAGTAAGGCCAGTAATAATAATGAAGGGTCTGCAGTGCTAGCGCATCAATCACACGTGCCATAAGTGTAGCGCGAAAGAAGCGTAAGCAGATAACCATTTAAAAAAATTAAACACGCTAAATGAAAATTACACCTTGTGTATCGTACCTTGTGGAAGTGGCAAGCACATTTTCCTTGCAGAAAGTCTTTGTAGCGTGCCACCGTGATGTTGAAGGTGTCGATGACGTCGATGTCGTAGTGGCGCGCGAACTCTGCTAACCACAGGTTCTGCATCATCAGCTTCTTCTGTTCGTTCTAAGGGTTAGGAGAGAGGTGAAAAATCTGTGCTCATTTTTCTGTTCTTTATTCTGATGTGTAAGACGGTACACACTATGACGTCACAGATGCAGATTACGACATTTTTTCTAGCCGAACATGCGCTCAACAACTGTGGCCATCTAGGTGTGCTGATCCTGCATCATCAAGAATCTGTATAGCGCAAAAAGTACTGACCCAAAAGAAAAAATAAGACAACCTACTGGACTCCTATGTCGTCTCTTCTTTTTGACTCTGTACCTTTTTTGAATAAGGTTTATCTGTATAACTGCGTTCAGCAAGCCGACGCACTGTCTTTAGCGTGACATATATAGTGTTTTTCAGCCAAAAGGATCAGCATGCCTCGCTTGACTTGCGAAACAGTGGCGATAGCCTAGCTAACTCTCACGCAGACATTCCCATGAACACGTGGAAAGACCCAAGCGATATAAGTATTTTTTGCAATGAAACTTTCAATTTATTTCATGCTCTATATAGCTGAATAGGTGGCAGATGCTACCAGCATCTTACATCTTAGAATTAACTTTGATCGTTCTAAATAAACATAAAACAAAACACTGAGGCGTTCATTGCTATTTCATTAAGGTCTGCGCTTAATAAAAACAAACATCTCCCTTGATATTGCTTTGCAAAACTGAAAGGTCGAGTCACTGCCCAAGAACTAATACGCAGCAGTGCTTATTGTAACCAGTGCGAAGCTTACCATACTGAGGCAGTGTATACCTTCGACGGGCTGGTGAAACCCCGCTCCCAGTGTCTTGATGATAAGCTTGATACCTTGAAGGTGGTCCCTGAACATAACACAGAAGAGGGAACGAAAGGGAAGCCAATGTAGTGACAAAGACGAAAGTAACTGTAAATACGCTTGCACAGAATACGTACCGTATATGCGAAAAACGTAACAAATATTGTTATGTACAATGTGCAACGTACAGTGGTGCTCTATCCTGACCCGATACTACTATTGGTCTACTTCCCCAAAAAGCGGCCATTTAGGCCATTAGATAATTTGAGGACGCTTGAGCTTCATCCTTCAAGAGTACAGTCACGATAGCGCAATCGGCCATCACATTCCGAAGGCGCCGTCTACTGAAGTTCGTATGTCTAGCACTCTCTATAAGGTTACCATCCTCGCAAGCGAGCGCTACGTTTCAGCTTACCGCTTGTGATATTGTTAATGCTCATGTCGCCCGTCACATCGTGACAAAGCTGTAAACGATTGGCTATATGAAACATCGTGCTGCTATTCGACATACATAGGTGGACGTATACTATTTGTACGTATGCTTAGCCTCATTTCGCAACGTTTCACTCAACAACAGCCACAAAATAAAACACTACAGTCAACCTCAAGAGACTTCGAGTCTCATGGTACGTGGGATCTGCCGAATTTCGTGCATTTGCTCAAATTTTCGGTCACGGATAGGATGATAGTTTTCGCTCACAACCAATGACTCCCACTACGACGCCGACACTGGAACTTCTGCCAAACGAGCTGTTAAAGGTGTCGCGTTAAAACAGTTTACATTTCAGAAATGAAGCGAAAGCGGCATATACAGCGGCACACACGCGTTATAATAGATGGGTCATACATATTTAAGGCTGCTATAAGGAGTGTTACTAATATTATTGTTATTATTAATTTATAAAATTTTACGTGCGAAAGTCATAGCATAAAGCATGCCGAAATTCTTGGCACATATGCCTAGCTATGGAGGGTGTTAGAGAATGAAAGCGTTACTTACCCGCGCAGTGCCTTGACCAGCATGTAAAGGTGCTGAGTCGCTAGCCAGTGGACGCCTCCCACGATGAGTACTGTGTTTGAGTTGTTCTGTAGTGGCTTCGACCTGAATTAGGACGCAAGAGCCATGATAAGCGAAACACTTAGAAGGAGCTCAGTGCTCTAAAGTGAAGCAGCCACCAACTCATGAGGCTCAGCAAAGCGAACATTATGATTCACCAATGCAATTGTAGTTAGTAGCCAATCGCTCAAATTTTGTTATGGGTTTCACACAGTATGAGCGTTATTCTCAGGAGGGAAATTCCATCTGATACGGAAAGAACGTCAATTCGAAAGCTAAGCAAAGCTGGGGACGCCATGCAAAGTGTGATCCAACACCTTTCCACAGCAAGTACCAGTAACGTGGTAATCTGACAAATATTCCGAAAGTGTATTTAAGCACACATCGTGTCTATATATGAATAGCCAGTACAAAACACCGGTTTCACATGACGATAGTTATAGCGCGAGAACAAAACGACGACACGGAGACAAGAAGGACACGAAAGACACGAAAGTCCTTCTTGTCTCTGTATCGTCATTTTGTTCTCGCGCTATAAGTATCGTCATGCCATACCAACTAGCTCAAGCTGCCACATCGGTTTCGCAATGCGTTTTAATACCCTATGTGACAAATGTCGCGAATCGCGGCCATAGTAACACTCTTTTGAAAGTTTTTGGGGGCGAAAATCGCGGCATGCTCGTATCGCGACACACCCCTTTGACATTGCCCTCGACGTTGCATCGAGCACAACATTAGCGGTAAACCATTTAGAACTTCGTCATTGTGGTGCCGCTAAGGTTGCAGCGTAGGTCTACTGGGTTAGTGCTAACGCGCGTGCCAGCATTCCAAGTTCGGGTGTAGGGACTGCCACGCGCTTCTTATTTCTTGATTTCCATATATTCGGGCCACAATAACTGTCAGAACCGCTCGGCCCAGACCTCCAAGTTTCAGAAGCTGCGCGATTTTTTAAGAATGTTTTTTTTAAGATTACGCGCAGGAGCCGAGTAGTCAAGTTACTTCGGGAGCACTCGAGAGCGTCATCGGTAGTGTTAGCTCATTCGATAGCTATCGCGAAAAGCACGACGCGCTCCGGCGATGATCAGATTACCAACGACTTATTTTTATGCTAACCGCTATTGATTCCCTTTGAGTGTTACCTTTCTTACCAGCCAAGAGTTCACCCCGTAAAGCGCACCATTTCTACCGGCTGTGTTGACTGTCTTTAATATCACGAACACGTGACAGCGATTGTGGTAAAAGGCAAAATGTTCTGACTATAGAGCAGGTGGTATCGATGAGTGCGTACGCAAGCTTCAAAGCAGACTAATCCACTATAAAATATAACAGTGCAATAGCCGAGCACTAACAAAGGTAACACACGCAGCATTTTGCGTGGTACCTTCGTTTATCGTCGTCTGTTGCGCTGTTTCTATTCATAAAAGACAGTTATAGTTTAGCATTAGCGTGATAGCCTAGGTTAAGGAAATGGCGATACCGTGCAGCAAACGTACGTTGTGGGCAGCGTCTTATAGTTTAGCGGGATAGCGTTTACGTGGCTTACGCGCCCCAGCTGGGATGGTGGCATCACCTACTATAACGTTAATAAAATAAACAGTGAAAATGAAAAGTAAGCGAGAATGTTTGCCTATGCCACCGCGCAGAGTATTGTTAGAAGTCTATTTTAGTGATAATAAAAGTGAATAATTATGAACCATGCACCAAACGCGAAAAAATCGATGTTGCCGATTTGTTAACATCGATCTTGTAGTTAGGCCTAGACGCGTTCGAAATGGGAAGCTATCTCAAAAACTACGCCAACTTATCCGTAATACTCGGTCACCGAAGCTAACTCAAGGCAAGCGAAGCCACTTTGAACAGTCGTTTGCGGCGAACAAGGTGAATCTTTCAACAACTACGCCAAAATCACTTCGAAGCGGGCGTCCGAGAGTGCCGCATGTTTACGTACACTACGTACACCTACGCTACGACGGGAACGTGAAATCTCAAAAATACTGCGCGTACGGGAAGCGGTACAGGTGACGTACATATCTGCGCATGCGCACTTCGATTCCGGTATCATGGTACACCTGGTATCCCGGTAAGCCCGGTATACTATAACTCTCTAATACTGAATTATGTCTTACCAACTTGAGCAAGTTTTTGCACTTCAAAGACCAATCCACGAAGTATAGTCGCAATCTTTAGCGAACGAGCTGCAAAGCGTTTGAAGACATACCTCTCGATAAGCTGGTAGAGTGCCTTGTCGAAGACTAGTCGGTAGCCAGAACTAGTCGGTAGCCAGAACTGCGGGTAGTACGCAAACGCCACCGCTGTCTCGCCGCGGTTCAGGTTGGCGTACACGCGCAGGTCGTGCGTCTTGTCCCAATGCTGGAGGGAGCCGTTGAGACGCTCCATGACGTAGTGCATCATGCCCCGGTTGGTCGAGTCTCCAATAAACAGCAACTGCGGGAGTCATTCATAAGCATAAGAAAGGATGTCGTCTTGTAACACACAGTAGCGTCTCTTTTGTATGCAGGGCCTGAATACGACACAACCGAAGGCCCTCTGGATTCATTGCGGCAAACAAATATAAACATGAAGAAAACATGACGAGAATAACTATTTTCATTTCGTTTAAATGTTCTTACCTTGCGAATACGAGGGCTCTCATATATATTACACGAAGCTCTTGTGGTTGCGTTATGTAACGTCATGGTACACTCACATCAAGCTCTCTATGTCAACCACGCCATACAGACACCTTAAGATTCAGTGATGATGAAAGGACGGACGGGTAGTTTGCCGAGATGAGAGGGGCGCGTTTAGTGTACTAACAAAGAAAATTGAAAAAGATAACAGAACCTAGATATGCATACATGAACGCGAAAAACATAAAAACTGATTTCATGAAGAGATATAGGATCACCATTGAGCAAGAAAGTAAGGATACTTTAATGAACGTGTTTATTAAATTATTTAGACCATAAGAGCCAGACGAGCTCACTTTAAAAAATAAGAAACACAATTGTCCCTATCATCAACATTATGATCCCATCTGTGTACCACACCTATAGCCGACCCCTGCCACGATAGACTCCACAAAAAAAAAAATTAGCAGATGACATTTCAACAGGTCCTGAACTAATGTAGCACATTTAGCACATCAGTGGATGTCTGCCTTAAGTTCTCAGAAAATAACACAGTGAATCCATTTACAGGCACATTAGGTGCACACGTAAAGTGTTCGGGACGCATGGAGCGTACGCTACCTTCTTGCCAGCCATGCACCGCGCCAGCGTCCTCTGCGGCAAGTTCACGTAGCGGCACTGGTAGGGCTGCCAGCGGGCTTCCTTCCAGTAACAGGACTCCTTGGCGGCGCACTTCTCGCAAGGGACCATCCAGCGGCCTTTAAAAAAGTCATATGGGAAGGAAAACACATCCATTTCATTTGGTCAACGCGAGGATCAAGTTGAGGTAACAAAACCTGTCAAAAGACAAAAGTTCTTCTACAAGTTCACACCTTTTAAATGCGAAGCATTTCTTAAAAAACTTCGGCGAGTTTGAGCGTATCTATCTATCTATCTATCTACCTACCTATCTATCTATCTATCTATCTATCTATCTATCTATCTATCTATCTATCTATCTATCTATCTATCTATCTATCTATATGTCTATCTATCTATCTGTCTATCTATCTATCTATCTAGCCGCCTACGACTTTTAGCTCTCCTGGCCCTTTCACTAATGGCATAGATAGCAAACTTCGTATGATATAACATGACTGTATGAAGAACATTTTGACTAGTCATAAAATGAAAATCATGACACGTATGTCATGAATGTCATGATTTACATTTTTTGGTTCTGCAGCTCTTGCAGTGCCTCCGTTCACATGGCATGTTGGAAAGCTAGTATGGTATGACATGGTTTTATGGCGAACACAAGTGACAGACCCTAACATGGAAATCATGGTATGCGTGTCATGTAACAACATGACTACATGCTACGCTCATCATGCGCTGGCGGCTGTTTCGCTAGCTTCATTTTTACCGAATTTGGTATTACGGGACATGAATGGATGACGAATGAATGTGACTGGTGCAAACATGATAATCATGAGATGCGTGTTATGTAACAACATGACTACATGCCACGCTCATGATGCGCTCGCGGCCGTGTCACTAGCTTCATATGTACCAAACTCGGTATTACGTTACGCGAATGGATGACATAGGTAAATGGCACATCGAAATAAGATAATAAGGACATACGGTTCATGTAACAACACGACTACATGCCACACTCATGATGCGCTCGCGGCCATTTTGCTAGGTTCACATATGCCAAATTTGGTATTAGGTGATGTCAATGAATGACGAAGGTATGTGACTGGTGCAAACATGATAATCACGAGATGCGTCTTATGCGAAAAACATGACTACATTCCACAGTCAAGGTGACAGTACATTTCGACGTGACGTGGTGCGCGTGCTCGCCGGCGTTCCTTTTGTCGCATCACGCCGGCGTTGCCACGCCAGGCGCCGGTCATGCCATATACTCGCAGGCGCGCGCCGCGCAGCGTTGCTTTGACGCATGCGCGTTTCAGCACATACGGCGTCCATTCGTCACGAAGAGAGGGAGACGCAGTGTTGTCTGGGTAACACATCGGCGCGACAAGCAGAATTTCGCATTTCGCGCCGGTTGCCATCGGGCTGCGCCCACGGACGCTGGTCGCGCGGGTAGCGCCTACCGTCAGACTATATAGCGCTCGCGTTTCGGTAACGTAGCGTCGCTGTGCACAGCGTGCGCATGCGTCAACGCTACATCGGAGTATATTGGGTCTTTCACGATGTGCTCGCGGACATTTTGCTAGTTCCACATATAACAAATTTCGTGTTACGTGGCGTCAATCGATGAAGAATAACATGACTGGTGCAAACATGGTAATCCTTACAGGTGTGTCTTGTAAGAACATGACTACATACCACGCTCATAGCGTGCTCGCGGCCGTTTCGCTAGCTCCACATATACTAAATTTGGTATCACGTGACGTGAATAGATGACGAAGCTAAATGACACATCCAAACTTGATAATCATGACACGAAAGTCATGTACGGCATCTTATACCTCCATCTCGTAACGTTGTGCTGGTTTCAAAGTGACATATAAACTTTTATCATTCGTGCCTCGCATACCATCGATTCCCACTAAACGTGGGGTTTTTCACTTATTCATTAAAAGCTGCCACCCTTCCACGTCCTTACGCAGAAATATCTCAGCAGAAAGAAGGAATACTAACAGATTGGTAATGAAGTGGTCCAGAGAAAATCAGATTTCATAAAACTGATCAAGAAATGCCAAAATTCAACAGTAAGTTACGTCAGACTATGATGTATTCTACCATTATACCACCGTAATATTACCGACTGCGATTTGGCATTAATGTTGGAAACAAAAATACCCGTTGGTGAACTCTAAAGTTTTATGTAGTTAATAATTAGGCTTTTTTTCAAGTATTTTATAAGCTATTGTCAATTATCAGGCGGAAAGACTGAAAGGTATATTTACAAAACTTGGCCAATTTTCGACGGTAGAGTGCTTTCAGAGTGAAGGAATGATTTACAATACCTTGGGAGCTACCATCCTTGCAGACTGGCAGCCTGGCTGTCTTTTCCAGGTAGCTGGGCCAATCCACTGACGTCTCGCTGTAGAGGCCACAAGGTTCCCCTGGTGCGACTTGCATTTCGCATTCTTTTAAAGATACCAGAAGTGGTGTAAAATTGCGGGTGTTCAGAAAAACAAAATTATTAGTGAAAACGCGTTCGTCCCGTTTCGGGGAGAGTTAATTGAATACAATTTTTTACTTCTACTCCTCCTCCTACTTGTAAATCAGTTACGCAGCATTTCGCAGTGTGCCAAAAGACGCGTCAAGGTTCAAATTATCTTCTTTTTTTAGATCTGACGAAGTGTACAGCACTCGGCCATCAAAGGTACAGGTCCTCGCTGACAGTGTGCAAGGTATGGTGCAAGTTGTCGGCGCAGAAATCACACTTGGCTGCTCTGGCGATAGCGCGAAGCCACGATGAACATCACATGAAATTCGGAGAAAGGAAGTTTTGTAGAAAAAGCACTCGTCCTAATCTGGGAATTGAGCCCGGGACGGCCATCTCGGGAAGTTGTCCACCCATATGAGCTACCAAGAATAGTCTATCGAAAAGCGAGATATTTACGAAATAAACGCAGGTTAACGTGAGATACCGCAACTGAAACCTACTTAAATGTTCTGTGCTTATGAACGTTATACTATACCACCAGATGTGTTCGCAGGCAGTAAATGGTTCCATCTGTAACAAGCTAATGGTATGCTGTTTATAGCATACTGTTACTGCCCTGTGAGCGAGCACTGAGCATTACGCTTGTACACATAAGCCAACACATAATTGATTGATGCGCGACTTCAATGGTGGTGCAACAGAACTGGTGTATTCTCCAACTACTTGACAGGTTTTAGGAAACAGAGATGCACAATGGATGCAATAATGGACTTAGTAACGTATGTGGAGCATGAACGCGCCTGTGCTAGTTTGACGGTTGCAGTGTTCTTGGACACCAAAAGGGCATTTGACACAGTCAGTAACACTCATGTTCTGCTGAGTATGTTGGAACTCGGACTGTCCGGCAGGTCTTTGCGGTGGGTATCCAAATTTTTATCAGGTCGTAAAATATTCATTCAGACGAGCGAAGGAAAAAGTGCAGAACACGACGTCAGACAGGGAGTGCCACAAGGAAGCGTACTCAGCCCTTTTCTTTTCAAGTGTGTTATGGCTGATTTAGCTAAAAGACTGCCTTCCAGGTTGAAATACTCCTTATATGCAGATGATGTGTGCATTTGGGCATCTGGCACGGACATACGGTTAATTCAGATTGCATTGCAAGACGGAATAAATATTATTAACAACTTTTTAAAAGAAAGAGGAATGATTCTATCGCACGCAAATACAGCTGTATTTCCCTTCTCCCGTAAGAAGTTGAAGAACTTCAATCTGAATTTAGAAGAAGAACCTCTAATGATTGTCACACAGCATCGGTTTCTCGGAGTAATACTTGATAGTCAGCTATCATGGGCACCTCACATAAAGAAACTCGAAAACGAGGTGAATACGCTAGTGAATACACTCCGCAGAATTTCTGGGACATCATGGGGCGGATCTGTATCATCCATACTCGCTGTTCACAATGCTTTAATACGACAAAAAGTTGCATATTCTGCAGCAGTGTTACACGGCCTTTCCCGCACTTCAGAGGAGCGACTACAAAGACTATTAGCTAGGGGACTGCGCGTCTGCATATGTGTTCCACGAGCGACTTCCAGCAGCCTTGTCATAGCAGAGACTCGACAACCACCCTTTCCAGTCATGAGAACAATTGAAACATGCCGCCATTTTTTTCGCTTACAGACGCAACCCAAGGACCACCCATTGGCACTGAAGATTTTACTAAGAGATAAAAGCAATGCTCATAACGATGTACAGAGTAATGTACATATATTACCCAGAAATGAATTTTGGAGCTCTGAAATGGACTATCCTCCATGGCTGCTTGTAATACCAAGCATTGAATTCTCAGTGGATGGCATTATCAGAAAGAGACACGTTCATCCAAGCTGCTCAACAACTAGCGCTTTATCAGATACACATGCGGTATCCAGGGTACATACATATTTACACAGATGGCTCAAGTACTCCAACGTCTTCAACATCGGCATTTATCATACCACAGCTCAATATTCAGGAATCGTTTAAATTATGTCGCATGACGTCATCTACTACATCTGAGCTCTTCGCTATTCTGTATGCTCTAAAGTTTATAAACTCGGTAGCAGACGCTAGAAAATGGGTACTTTTCAATGACTCACAGGCCGCATTAAGATCACTCTCCAGTACAAACACGACAGTAATAAGTGATAGTATGACATACGAAACGCTGAAGGAGCTCACCAAAGCAAAGAAGGTGCAACATGAGATCAAATTCCAGTGGATACCTGGCCACTGCAACATTCCTGGAAACACAGCTGCCGATGAAGCAGCACGACAAGCACATCGTAAAGACGTTACTGTTTCTTTGCCAATTTCGAAAAATGAATTGCGTAGTATTATAAAGAATACAACTTTCAGAGTGAGCAAAACTGCTTGGTTTGACCAAAGTACAAAGAGCTGCCATTTATATCACACCGATCCATTTATTGAATTCAAAATTGCGCTGGCATGAGATAGAAGGATAGAAACTCTAATTCACCGATTGAGGCTAGGCACCGCATACACAAAACATTTTTTGCGCAGAATCGGCAGAGCTGAAACTCCCGAATGCGAATGTATATTTATAGATGAAGGCGTCTGTCACCTTCTCATAGACTGTCCACATCATGACACGCCGAGACGCTGTCTTAAGTCCGAACTGTTCGCATTGGACCGCAGACCATTTAGCATGAAAAAACTTCTGGGCCCGTGACCAACTGGAGTTTTACAGTCCCACGCTTTAAAAGCATTAACACGTTTTTTACAAGACAGCGGAATTGCTGACAAGTATTAACAAAGAACAAACTTTCATTTGTAACACATATACTTATTATGTACAGTATCATGTGACACCCATCACGTGTGTGTTGTGAAATGAATGACGTGTCGACTACTATGTACATACGAGCAAATGCATCTTTATAAGGACCAGACGTGTGCTTTGCTGTTTTGTGCTGGTGGGCCGAATATTAACGAGGGACATTTCCAGAGACTTCTTACATTGACTTTCGAACATTTACTTACCATTGTGATATGTGCGTATAAGTGTGTCTTTGCATATCTGTGCCCAAGTTTTCTATTTTCCATGCACTGCTTTGTATGTTTTGCTTCAAGATACGTGTTCAAGTTTCAATCAACGGCTAAGGAGTAGCCGGCACCATAATGGTGCGCCAACATCTTCTTATATATCATATCAATAAAAAAAAGCCAACACACGGGCCACACCATGCAAGCAAACTAAATGTAAGATAGAATGTGTGGCTACGAACATTGACTTGCTAATTATTCCCAGTACCGTATCTAGTAACAACCAACTACTGGCAATATTGAGGGTATATTCTACCTAAGAAAGGGAAAGAAGACAGCCACCTACAAGCCAACACTCGAGCCAAGTGCTTCGAGCACTTGAGTGTCCAGATGCTTCGAGTTGTCAATGAATTCGCTCTCGCACTGTCAATTGCCAGCTTCCTGGTTAGCTCAATTGGTAGAGCGACCGCCCCGGAAAGGCATTGGTGCCAGGTTCTAACCCCAGATCAGGACGAATTTTTCGACAACTGCGAAGCTTTTCTTTCTGACAAATCCGTATGCATTTCCTGTGACTTCGTGCTATGAACGAGTCGTTGCCTTCTTTCCATTTCTTGACCCTTCCGCCACCTTGCGGGTTTCCGCAGAACTCACTTGTTGTACATCCTATTTAAATGCTTACTTGCTCTGGTCCTGTTTCGTTATGCCTGCATGGGAGCCCAACCCAAACGACATTGCTTCGGCAAAGTATTCAAGTTGGTATCGTCTGATGCATGTGGGGTCAACATCGATAGTCTGACTGATAACACCAGCAAGCTGTCTGATGCAACAGGCGTCAACCAAGGCGGGAGTCTGATGCAATCCACGGCATCTCTTGCGGTGCGCCTTACATCACTGACGGCAAACCCTCACGCAACGCATGGCAAGCACTCTCATCCACGTGTCTGACTCCATACAGCGCTCAGCGGGGGTTCCTGATTGGAGGCTTCGAACTACTGGCTGATGCAAAGGATGCTCAAGGGGCTACAAAAGAACCAAGCTGCGCGAAGACCAGAGAGTTGCCTAAGATATCCTCGGTGCGAGTTCGAAATATCCTCGGCGCACCTCGGTCCGAGTCCGATAAGCTGTCGGCCCCAGTGCCAAATACGTAACGCCTCTGTTTATACTGTACATAATGTTGCCTCAACTTACCATTGCCTTGTCCGATTCGTCTATCAGCTCTGCACAGATGCAACCGCCAGCTGAGACACCCAATACCCAACAGTCTACTCATACTTTTGCTTATCCTCCTATCAATTACCTTTGTGAAAAATAGAAAAGACAGAAAAAAAGAAACCACTGTAAATTTCAGTGACTCGATGTGTTGAGGGCCAGAGGCTTTAGGACAGCAGACGCAATATTTCAGAAATTAAGCTCTGTTAATATTGGCTGTGAGAGTACCCACTAGGGAGGCCAGTGCTGCGATCGTTTTGACGTCACAGATAGGATGTGTAGTTGTGAAATAGGCATCGTTGCTTTCGTGACACCGCTTGCATCGTCCCCCATGGCTGCACCGGTTCTTAGTCGCGATTTACGATAGAAATTACACATGATAGTGCCGCGGGGGGAACCTATTGGTAGTTTGCTTGCCCATATTATCAAGTGTTACCACTTTTTTTTAAGCACTGAGCTTCAAAACAAAGGGAAGCATGCACGGTGTCCACAGCAAAAGTGCTGGAAATGCGGTGTTCTAGCAATGTCAACCCGGCGTCCTATGAGTCGCGTTATTGTGTACGTGCCGCCGCCACCTCGAGGCCAATAAAGAAGAAAAAACACAAACGTTAGGAGAAACATTACCAGAAAAAACAGGCTATAGAAGCCAACGAACATCACCATGGTTGGAAAGTAATATGTAACAGCTCAAAACCACACTTTCATTTTTTCGCTTATGCCATTTTATTACGCATGTATTAAAGACATAGTGTAGCTTTAATTATTTGCACATTGTGCTTTGCAGGCGTAAAATAATCTTAATGAGGTGATATAAAGTCTCATACGTCGTTTTATTGAATGCAAAGTTTATTGAATGCAACGTTGGCGCCAACATGTGGTGATGGCTATTCCTCTGAAATTATAGTGTTGTCTTTAGCGTTGTCAAAACACTACAAGAAATCTTACAGGCACTCTGCTCTACTACAGTAGGTAGGTAGGTAGGTAGGTAGGTAGGTAGGTAGGTAGGTAGGTAGGTAGGGAGGTAGGTAGGTAGGTAGGTAGGTAGGTAGGTAGGTAGGTAGGGAGGGAGAGAGGGAGGCAGGGAGGGAGGGAGGGAAGGGAGGAAGGAAGGAAGGAAGGAAGGAAGGAAGGAAGGAAGGAAGGAAGGAAGGAAGGAAGGAAGAGAGGAAGGAAGGAAGGAAGGAAGGAAATGGAGAAGGCAGGGAGGTTAACCAGAAAGATATCCGGTTGGCTACCCTACACTGGGGGATTAGGGAAGGGGACAAGAAAGATGAGAAAGAGGAAAGAGAGGAAAAAAAGTTGAGTACCAAGTACTCTACATCACTAAACACATTTTTAAACACGCTCTTTCATAGGGGAGTACCAAGTACTCAATATCGTTAAACACGTTTTCTAAACACACACATTCGTTTTGTATTGAATTGTGCCAACGGGGTGGCATTATGCTCTCTCATAGTGGAGTACTAAGTACTCTAAATTGTTCACCACTTTTTTCTAAACACACAAAAACTGAAAAACCAACAGGTACATGCGAAGTATATTTAATGATTTGTAAACATCCACGCCATAGCGGAGTGGACGCTCCTTGAATGTTGGAAAAGCTCCCGAAATGTCCTCATAGCAGACGTCACAAATTAAACCTTTCTTCACAGCCACGATTGAAGGACTGTGCGAGTACGCGTCAATTTTTCATCAAAAGCGGATGCACAACACCCTGCATGAATGGTAGCGCTCTCTGGCGTGACACCTTGAGTTGGACGGCTGGTAAAACCCCGCCTTCGAAGGACACTGCCTAGTTCACGAGCGCGATTATTTCTTTAGCCGCTGAGGCGATATGCTGCAGCACTTCGGTCGCACGCGGAAGGTCTCTACAGACTTTCAGGGACGAAGCACGTTAAGCTGTATTCACACAATGACTTAAATCGCGATTTGAGCGTTCGGATTGCGTACTACGTCACCGTACGTAGCCGTTCCCGCGTTTCCGCTTCAGACCGGTTCGTGAAACGACGCAAGCGCGAATCGTTGCTGTGATCCTCGGAGAGCAATGCCAAAATGCTCGTTTGTAGCATAAATTCGGACCTGTAGTGTGAATGCTAGTTGTGGAGAGATCCGAGTCACGCCACATGTTACATGACTGATCCGTCTGCGATGAAGATCGTCGTGTGAATACAGCTTGACGCGCTCGGGCTGTCGGCGTCTCATGTAGTAGTAGACCATCCCATTGTTTTCTGTCATCGGCCGTCACCGTAAAGCAAGTGGCAAATATGGTTGTGCCTTAGCTCAGGAAAAACTTGCGAGAACGCGCGCTCACCCGCTAAGAGACAACGCCACCTGTGTAGCTCCGAGTGGCTCTGCATCTTGTTCTCTTCTCAACCCAGTGGCGTAGCCAGGTAATGTCCCACCAAGCCGGTGACTCCCCCCTCCCCAAAAAAAAAGTATTTTCGCCATGCACACATATCGCAAAATGACCATCTGCCTGCCCGACCCCCACTTAGATCAAGTAGGTGCCCTCCTTCCCGGAGAAAAATTTTTGCATACAATCCTGCTTCAACCTCTCCTCTCAGAGTGGCGAATAACATGAGAGGCTCTGTTTCTGCGATGTACGCTACATGTCTGCGACACTCTCTGTATAGAGGACGCTGTCTTCGCTTTGGCATTGCCGTGTCCATATTAGAAGAAACACCGATGATTCGCAGCCGCCCCCCCCCCCCCCCCCCAACACACACACACGCATGCACACGTAGGTTTCAGGTTAGTCGAGCTGTTCCTGCAGCGCCCATGGTTTCTGAGTAATATCGGCGACAAACGCCGCCTCGGGTACACACTGGATGCAGCCGGGAATCAAACCCGCGTCCTCGTGTTTATAATAACGGCGTGACACATGTACACTGCTCAAAATCTTCGTCGAAGTTGTATCCGACTGTTGTGATGCACCCTTTTTACAATAGTTTTGTAAAATAGCTTGAAGAAGGATTTCTCAGCGATGGCAGTTTGCACATCTGCCCACCTGCTTCATAATAATGATATAAACCAATGGTTCCTCTGAAACTTTAGTACATCATGCTGCAATATGTTAACTGTGCAGTTTAACTGAAATACTGAATAAAATTGTCTTGATTAACGTCTCAAAAGCATGTGATATGAGAGTTGCCGCACTGTAGGGCTCCAGTAATTTCGACCCTCTGGGACCCTCTGGGACATTTAAATACACGAGCTTCAAGCATATTTCGCCTTCATTAAAATGCGGCCACCCCAACCGGGATTCGATCCCATGACCTATATGCGGGGCCTGACCTACCTGCTTAAGGCTGCACACTTGGTGTTGAGTGGCAGGGCTGAATACCACACCGTCGTCTGCAAGCGGCATGCGCCGAATCAGCAGTGTGTAGGCGTTGACCACCCACGGGTCGGGCTGGCCGCCATCCATCACGTACAACACGACTTTGTTCTCACCCACGCCGAGGGTGTAATTCGCCGGCCTGCGAAGCACGTGCAGCCACAAACGAATGAGACAAGAACCAGCAGCTACAAAGCAGCGTGGGTTTAATAAGTGGTGATTCACGAGCACTCTCTGAACAGCACTATCTCGGACTGCTAATCATGCAGTTGTCAGAGCCATTTAAGGACTCCATATAAAACGTTCAAGCCTTAATAGCACTTCGGTTAAGTATAATAATGAAAACAAGAAATAACACCTTCAAGTTAACTCTAACTTTCTATTTGCATGGCACGAAGCCGTGCTGTTTATTACAATTTGTGAAGGCGCCAAAATGATATGTTCGTCATTCAAAAGACAAGTGAAACCATTCCCATTAGGGAGCCTGCATTTGTGGATATAGGCTCTCTAATTCCCATCATATGCTATGAGCGATATGTCCACATAGAAGGATCTACTAGCCTGCGTCATCATTTAGCTGGAGAGCTTCCGTTTTAAGGACACAGTGATGAAAAAATGGGAAAAGACGATCCCGAGAATTTTGTGTTTCATTTAATCATTCGTCAACTGCGTTGTTGGACGGGAACCTGCGGTAGACTCTGTCATACAAGCACGTGCAACTTCATGTATACCCGAAAACAGTGATTTCCCGAGAAAAAATGTCTCACCAGTTCAGAAGGATTGCGTAGAAAAATTACACAAATATTGTGTTTGTAGCACTTGCACCTTTCAAAGCGTAAGTTGAATTGTATAGATTTTGAAATTAAGGTGAGGTTACTAAGTCAATTCCAAAGCGTGCTTTATTAAAAAGACTAGGACCCTGCAAGCATCCCCGAAAGTAAAGGGCCTATTAACATTACCGAAGGTTAACGTACGTAAAAAAGCAAGTTGCCATACTGTGACTTATGTTTTTTGTATTCTCGTTCATATGAACGCGTTCATTGGCTAAAATGCTCACAGCTGTCACACGCAGGCAAGCCAGACGCAGGTAACACATAAATGCAGTCGAAGATTCCCAGATGCTCCCGAGTGATCTGTCGAGATCGTGACCACAACGCGACCTCTTGATTAAAAGCGAATCTGCTTTGGCTCGCACCCCGCCGTCGCCATGGCCGTCAACGCTCGCTGGCATGGTGCCAGCTGTGGTTTTGGATCTGCGCGGTGGATATTTTGATTGATATGTGGGGTTTAACGTCCCAAAACCACCATATGATTATGAGAGACGCCGTAGTGGAGGGCTCCGGAAATTTCGACCACCTGGGGTTCTTTAACGTGCACCCAATTCTGAGCACACGGGCCTACAACATTTCCGCCTCCATCGGAAATGCAGCCGCCGCAGCCGGGATTCGATCCCGCGACCTGCGGGTCAGCAGCCGAGTACCTTAGCCACTATACCACCGTGGCGGGGCGCAGCGGATATCTTCTCGGTTACATCTGTTCAACGGCGCTAAACGAAACAAATGCCACGTCAGAAAGTGACGTCAGCGAGACACGTTAAAGCGCTTATCCAATGAAACTGATGACGCCTTCGCTTCCTTACCTGGCCGGGCCGTACTTGTCGTCAACACGAACTTGGCTGCCGCAGTGCTGAGCCAGGCCCCACACCTTGACGAGGACCAGGTCGTACGAGACGTTGGCGAAGTACTCGGTCCGCTGAGGCTTGAAAGCCGGCTGAAGGCGCACCGACGGCTCCGTCACGATTCGCGCCAGGTACGGCATCGTGGACGGGTCTGCGATTCGGTTTCAGCGAGGTCGGCGTCCGGTTGATGAAAAGCCTTTGCATAATGATACTCTTGTGATATCTGGAGTTTCACGTCCCAGAACCACGATATAATTGTGAGAGACGCCGTAGTGGAAGGCTCCGAAAGTTGCGATCATGTGGTGTTGTTTAACGTAGATGACATCATACAGCAAACCGGCTTCTACCATTTCGGCTCCATCGAAATGTGACCATCGCGGCTGCACTCGAACGTTCGTTCAGTGCCTGCCGAAGGCAAGTTATCTTTTCATTTTCTGCGTAAACCAATCTGACAATGCTCTTTGTATGGAGCTGAGATCAAAATTATAGCGTGAAACAAGCACCTTATCTGGGATAAGTGGTAGATCAGTATGTAAAAGCAAAAGTGAATGAGCTCATCACGCGAATAGGCGCTATGCATAAAAAGGGGACTACGAAGAAGTATCATAAAATGGAAATTATAGTAACTATCAAGTTCTACAATGCAACTATACTGCAATTAGTTTTTTAAAATATGAAATCAGGACCTTTACAGTCTTACGCGCAATGTTTGTTAGGAGATTAATGCGCGAAAATATTGCGAAACAACGCAATTTTCGCTGAAAAATTGCTAAGGGGTAGCTTCATGCAGCGTTTCTCATTTACGGACGACATATGAGCGAGAAAAATACGCAATATCTCTAATAGGATATTAACTCATGAATACTTGGTCACCGAACCTTTAGAGTAAATTATGGCACATTTTCTTAACTTTCAGTTGCAACAGCTCTTAAGAACATATGTCGGTGAATGACAGTGTAATGCCCAAAAAACCTTCGATACACGAACATTTTTTTCCAACGCACCGTTCTTCGTTTAGGTCGCAAATGCGTTTAACGGCCCTGCGGACATAACTTACATGAAACCATTCTCAGACGTCACACGCAGGTTCACGAGGTAGAACCAACAATGGCCTGAGCTTTTCATGTTTTTTAATTCATGTTTACGACGTGCAAAAGATAAGCTCCGTAACAAAAATAGTAAAGTGTAAAAGAACATGAAACAAAATCAATACGAGTACGTCGTTTTTTCTTTATAAAAAAACTATTCGACGTCATTTCGCGCTTGACCGAACGAAGTAAACATGTTTCCGTTGTAAACTTTTCAAAATTTTCTCTGAAGTTACGGCCCACCCATTGCTTTATTTTTTACGTTGATGCGTTTGAATTTGTAGCTTTTTTTACTTTCTTAAAACATAACGAATCAGGCACTTCATTTATAGGAACAGCAGGCGCAGACTTCCGCCAGCGTCGTCGGGAGATGCGCGCAGGATTTTCATCTCCTTCGTGTTGCGCGCACGCGTGCGTGAACGCACTGTCGCATCGCACAAAAACACCAAGTCATATATTCTCGGAGAACATCAGTGCCGTCACCTCGCTAACAACGAATAAATCACGGTCTTACTTACCTTTACTGCAAGTCACGTTCGCTGACGTCGCTGAAACGAGAACCATACATACATATAAGAAAGTATATAAACATGTCACTTCACAAAACGCGACCGGGTTATTTTTCGGGCGAAACATCGCGAGCAGTAATCAATGTTGCACAGTTGGCTCTGGAAATTCTGTATACATTCAACAAGTTGCACAGTACACGCTGAGTTCACCTTTTTTTTTTTTTGAGTGTTTGCTGTCGAGTGCATGTATGGAATTTTTCATTGCTGCTTGTGTGTTTCTATAGAGAGTGCGGAGAGAGTCGCGAATTTTCCGCGATTGACAGGCTGGAATCAGGTTTGTGTGGCTCCTTTTTTGTTTCAAGTGAAGTGGCGGAGAGAGGGTGAGAAAACGTGGCGCACTGCCATACCTGAATTGTTATAAAAAGTAGGGAAGTGCTAACAAATAACCAAGATGCTACGACGCGGTATATAACTGAAGCATGTCAGATTACTTAGCTTTGGGGGGGGGGGGGGGCGAATGCTGCATGATGACTCAATAAAAAAAGTCACAGTTTCGGCACAAGCCGAGAACACAAAGAGAGAGAGAGGAGAGAAATAAATAAAAGGAAGAAACAGGGAGGTTAACCTAGAAGACCTGGTTTGCTACCCTGTACAAAGGTGGGGAAATAAGGGTCGGAAAGAGAATAGAGACAGAGAGATATAAAATAAATTAGAAAAAAGAAAGCAAAGAACTGCGATAGCAACATATCGGGCTGCTATGCGAAGTAAGGCTGGGAGATTTATGAACCACACGAAAGGTATTGAACACGGTCGATTGCGCTTTAATTCAAACTACTGCAGTAACCACAACATTAAAACAGGTGTCGTGAATATTTGACTGTTTGACGCCCCACAAATGAAGAAGTCTAAGTTCGGCATCGAGAAACGCGACAACCACTGGCATTCATGTCGAAGTACAATAACGCTGAATCCTCCAGTGAATATATCACCGGCACATCCTGTACGCACACCACAAGAAAGTTGTGCAGCGAGAAGTTCATGACCTCCGTCCACAGTGTTCCTGGTGAAATGTACACTGTTTCGACGACAAAGCCGTGCGATTTTCTAACGGCACCGGCGTCACACAACTCTTCCGGCGCAGCGAGTTGAGTTTGTCTATCTAGAGTGATAGTGTCGGTGTGCCTTTCGATGAAACCGAATTCCCAGGCATGACAGGACTAGACATCCTTGAACGATCCTGGACTTGATGTAAGCGATTTTTTTCATTGCTTCAGAGTCAAAGTGGAGCCAGAGACAGTTTGAAATGCCCCGTTTGTCCAACTTTATGTGCTCCAGAGAGCCCATCTTTCTATTGGTCAAGCCATCGGACACGTCCATGTTTAGGGAAAGCATGTATGGATTGTCCGAACAAAAAACATGCTCTTTTCAAGGATGTTTTGAAGTGTTAATGCTCAAAATGTAAACGCGGCGCACTCAGGAGCGAGAAGTCACTGGTTCGGTTCTCGGGTGTCTTTGAATTTTAAATGTGAAGCATTTCTTAGCGTACTGCAGCCAATCCATCCATCCATCCATCCATCCATCCATCCATCCATCCATCCATCATCCATCCATCCATCCATCCATCCATCCATCCGTCCGTCCGTCCGTCCGTCCGTCCGTCCGTCCGTCCGTCCGTCCGTCCATCCATCCATCCATCCATCCATCCATCCATCCCATCCAACCCATCCACCCATCCATCCATCCATCCATCCATCCATCCATCCATCCATCCATCCATCCATCCATCCATCCATCCATCCATCCATCCATCCATCCATCCATCCATCCATCCATCCATCCATCCATCCATCCATCCATCCATCCATCCATCCATCCATCCATCCATCCATCCATCCATCCATCCATCCATCCATCCATCCATCCATCCATCCATCCATCCATCCATCCATCCATCCATCCATCCATCCATCCATCCATCCATCCATCCATCCATCCATCCATCCATCCATCCATCCATCCATCCATCCATCCATCCATCCATCCATCCATCCATCCATCCATCCATCCATCCATCCATCCATCCATCCATCCATCCATCCATCCATACCTCATTGCGGGTATTTGCCACAGATGATAGACATTTTATATCTACCTACGAACGGGGAGAACACACATAGGTAACCTTAACGCTTGGGCGTCAAGGAAAAGCTGCCATAGGCAACGTCTACCGCACGAATGCCAACAATAAATTTCATTGTACCAGCAGTAATCGAACACTGACATTTTGCGTGGTAATGAAGTATTCCGCCACAAAGCCACGCCAGGCCTCGAATATACTTCTCAAATTGACCCTAATGATTGTGTAACGTTAATTGTGGTTGCAGTACTAGCTATCCAATTTCATAAACTTTACATATGTACTCCTATGATACACCCGTCATGTCGGGTTAACGTTAAATGCAGTTAGTCGCCACCCGCTGAAATGGATTTGTGTAGTAGTGTTGAGGGCCACCATCATCGCAAGCACCAGCGCTTAATATCAGCATACCGCTTCTGTTGTTGCGAGGCACTGGTCTCCAAGAACACCTACTCGAAATGCCCTCGGTGACGCATCGATCTGCATTGATTGCACAATGAAAAATGCGAACCAAATGCCATCTCTCACAAACTCAGTCTTAACGTCATGGCTGTACACCGCCTGAGTGAGCTACGAAGTATTGTAACACAATGGTTTCATTTATTATTATTTATTTTTGGGAGTTCAGTTTATCGACAATTAATGTAGTCACGGGGTATGCGGCAAAAAATTTGGTAAATTCTGTTACAAAACACCGGTCCACCGAGAATGAGGTAGACAACAGTTACACCAATAAATAACCGACGATATCGGTGCAGCTGAAACACCATTTCCTAGTGCCTCATCAAAGAAATTTCTCTCAACCCCCCCCTGCCCCCTCCCATTTTCTCTTATTTGTTTTCCTACGCACGTTACCTATGGCTACTCCATCAAGCAGTAATTAAAGAGTACCTAATCATACCACTTTAGGTGGGCGTAGAGTAGAGTATACTCACGTTGACTCCAGGCGTAGAAGTCCTGATTTCCGCTGAGCAAGTCATCTTCCTGTTTCTCACTCTGCTGGACCGAGGAACTGTTGGTCCCTTTCCTGTGAAGTGTGCCGTTGTTCGATCGAAAAACTACACGTGCTTGCGTAAACTATTTCGGAGCACCATCGCGTGCGGGACAACGTTATAAACTTCCTGACGGCTCAGCTAAAGCTTGCCTAAATGCTTAGCTGACAATATCAAACTCGCCAGATCCTGTTATCAAGTGATTTCCGCTCCGCGCCAGTTTACTTCTTAACGTGAAGTGTCTGCGCGTCTCTGCCACTGTGCCACAATAAAACTTTCTTCGTAGATGCTCAACTGCTGCGCTATTTTTGTTACACAATAATCTCCATTAAACTTGTCTCGGCAATTGCGCAATGCGAGAACACCCATGTACAAGACCTAGGAGCCCGCTGAAGAACATCAAGCGGTAAAAAATATTATGATACTGCCTGGGCTACCAAGATGCATAGCGGGCCCGTAGCCAGGAGTTGTGGTGCGGGAGGGGGTACACCAGCCCCCCTCCCTTCGAATTCAGGATGTGGGTGGGTGTTTTACGCCCAATAAATAATAAAAATTGGTGTGTTTATAAGGTCTTCAACGAGTTCAATCCCCCGCCCGCTCACAGAAAATAATTCCTGGCTACGGAGCTTATGAACACACAATTATCAGAAGTGACAGCGTTGAGAAAAACAAAAACACGTATCCTGCAGGCACGCAGCTATATATACACTTATCCATTCACAATCTATGGTCATCATTCATGTCTTTTTCTTATCACTCACCTCTTCGTGCTCTACGAAAACTCGATAGAACGTACTTTGAAATCACTGCTTCTAACGAATTACCACAACTAGGCAAGATTCCTCAGACCAGTAAAAGCGTTCACTAGTGACACATCATCAATACCCCTAGGCCAATCACGGCAGCACTTATTCAGTCTGATTTTGTCGTCTGCGCACGCATGTTAACGAGTACGTCCTACACTCTTAAAATTGTGCTTGATAAACTGCTGGCCATGGCCCGCAACACTGACAAAAAAGGTCTGGTTTCCAGACTATATCAAGCATTTCAACCAGAACGTGAGCAGGAATGTACGTAAGAGGATATGCACATTTATCTACCTGTACACGCTTATGTACATATGAAAAGCATCTTGCTCCCTATTGCTTATGTGCCCTTAAGCAAACTCTAAGCAGATCAGATCGTTCTTTCGGACCTAAACTCCTATCAGGAAATAGAGACCGCGTAAAATACGGTCACGAACACATAGTCTAACTTGGGCAATGGAGAAGCACGGGACTGGTCGTGTTTTTCAAAAAATCGAAAGCCACTCAGTGATAGCAAAGATAAAACTCAAGTCGGGCCATCCCAGAGTGCTCGCGTTCCACGGTGCTGGGGTTGTCTACCTAGAAACTTGCAAACGAACAAGCTGGCGCGTATGAATTATGCATAGCAGCTAACCTGAAACCCGAGCCTTCTCCAAGAGGCAAACATGAAAGCTCTATAGCAGTGCCTTGCTACTTTCTCCCCGTAATGATTTCTTCATCTGGGTCATTTTGCGAATCAGACGTAAATAGTTGATGATCCGAAATGTGAGATCGATGCCGCGAGGGGACCACGTATGTGTTCCTGGTCGAAGCAGGTATGCGACCCTACAGAGCTGCTCCCCGGCATGCACCCGACGAGTCCCAAGTTTTCGTTTTTTTTTTTCTTAAAGTCTAGCTCTCTGCTGCCCATTTTGTCGATACCGTTCCTCTCGTACGGCAACAAGCTTCGACGAATAACATAAGCGTGTACAAAGACTGGGAGTATAGATAAATTCATTTCAGGCTACACCCACGATATGTATGCGTCATGCATATCGCGATATGTATGAAACATACATCAGAATATGTATGATAAAAACGTATAATGATATGTATAATACGCAAGAACATGACTATATGTACATTTGTGCGTGTATATAATGAACAGAAAATTCAAGGTTTTTGAGTAAGGGAGGGTGTTGAAAGTTCCAAACCACCTTTCTGGTTAAGCCAATGAGAATGTTACAATCGCGAAGGCAAACTATGTACGCAAAAATATCCAAACCATAGGAATTATTGTAAGTTTTCACCACGCAATGGACGCCTTTTCGAAAATAAGTATTCGAAACATAGTTCTCATAGCTTTTATTTCCGAAAACTGGTTTGGCTATGAACATTCAGTTTTGAGTTCTACGTTACGAAAAATGAGAGCGAAAAAATAAAAAGTAAAAAATACGCCTATTCGCGTGTAACCAAGCGTGATCTCATCAACGAACAAACTTCCAAAGTTAAGCAGAAGGTTAGTTTTGTTTCATCTGCGTCTAACCATGTTTACAGTATTCCTATGACGTGTGGACGAGCTTATGTGGGCGTCTAACCTTGTTTACTGTATTTCTATGACATGTAGAGGAACGTACGTATGTGTGGCGTCTAACCATGTTCACTGTATTCCTATGACGTGTGGACGAGCGTATGTGGGGCAGTCTGGTCGCTGCATAAACTTACACCTAAAGGAGCCCGACTCATCTTTAAAGGGCAGGCCGCTACCGCATTTGGCCATACAGTGTGCAAAGTGTGTAGTGTGGGTGCAAGGCACGCTTTTCGAATAGTCATTTTGTTTAGGCACCATGATCGCACCACAGGCACAGGAGAGATCACGGAGGATTTTCACATCAACATTAGGCAATCATCTTGCACCAGCCACCCATCAGTGATTACTTTGGAAACTGATGGGATCATCCACTACAGCCATTATTTTATTGTAGTCAAGATTATTCATTATTACTCACAAGTCCGTGTACTATTGCTGTATTTTTTGTAATTACCTCATCCATGTAGCCATAGGAGGTCCCCCTGTCAGTTTCTCTGAAACTTTGGGACCTCCTGCTGTAATAACGCTAACCATGTAACTCAACTGAACTATTTAATAAACTTTACTTGACTTGACTTGACTTGACTTCAAAAAGAAGTGCCGCTGCTGAGGCGGATAAGGAGCACAGCAGATATGGTGCGATAGCCCCAGACTTCAAAACTACGACGGTGTGCATGGACAGTGGGGTAATAGCATTGATATATATATATATATATATATATATATATATATATATATATATATATATATATATATATATATTCTTTTCTGAATAAAGCCTTCAGTTGATGGTAGTGTTGGTGTCGTTCCCCCTCTTTCTGCGTGCGTGTGTCAGTGTACGATAAAAATAAGTTACAATGCATTCAGACCAACTACCTCTTCTCGCAGTATTAATGCTTTTTGTGCTGTGTTTATCACGCTTTTATTTGCCCGTTCTTCTGAGCTCTTTTCACTTGCCACTGTTCAAGGAAGCAAAACACTGTTTCAAAGAAATTTCGCAAGCTTGAAATAGGCATTGCGTTTTACGCGTGTACGTTGTGTCTCCGTCTTGCTCAAGAGTACGCTAGGAGGCTTTGCACACAACGTACAGGAACTCACCAAACGTCGCTGGGCTCTGGCTCGAGGTCTGAGTAGTTGTCGTCAGCCACATGCCGGTTAAAGTGCCTTTGCAACGCCACCACTATCGGGTGCATGTCGGCGGTGCCGTGCTGGCTACCACTCCTGCATGCGTGAAAATCGGTTAAGCGAATCGCTGAAGACGAGAACGCCGACAGCGAGATAGTAACATAAGGGTTCCTTTGTGAAGTAGTGAGAGCGTGTCTGGTTAAAAAATTATTGACGCAATCATAACATATTAAAAAATGTTCGAAGGTTTTTATTTGGTGCCAATTCACCATTTACAAGGCTATTTCCACGTTGCGAAGGACCCTAAAAATTCAGAGGCTATGTCCTCAACCAGAAACCTTGTGGGAGCCCGTTGATGGCCGGGAACATTTTCTGAACGATGACCTTTACAGCTTCTCTTAATCTTTGAAAACAAAAAGAAGCCTGTCAGACTCATCTCAGGGTTTCATCTGGGGCTGCATCAGCCCTAATGTGACCGCGGCCGACTCCCTCTTGTTCTCAGCACTTAAGAGAATCATGGTCACCTTTTAGACGGCGTTTCGATCGGCCTCAAAAGCCTCTAACATTTATTGGGGAGATAAAATTCAGATATGTGGAGTGGGATTGACGTGTTTGCAAGTATTCACATCAACTAAGCCAAGTTTCCTAGTGCGTGCGCTTACCTTTGCATATCTTCGGTTGCTCCTCCTCCACCTTCAAGAGTTCCCATGTGCAGCTGTTCTAGCTCGTCGATAAATGTTTTGTACTGTCCACTCTTGTACGTCGGGTACAGCTGAAACAGTGAGTCCGAGAACTACAGTTACTTTCGTGTTTGAATTCAACATTTGCGATCTCTGTTCAAAATGCAATGCAACATCTCGCATTTTCTTGTGACTTTCTTTACATGCTTTTATAACGCATTTTCTTGTATACAACGCGCGCCGAAAGAAACAGGTAAGTGTGCCTAAACAATACGAGTGTGGGCTATGAAAAGAAGTAATATGTGTATATTTTATTGTAGATTTAACATTGCACTTCCCTAAACTGGGGCAGGTGTGGAATGTAATTTTTAGTAGTGTGGGGTAATGTTTATATGCATAGACGGGTTGTATAAAAGAAAATACGGTCTACGAGAAATTTCACACAGGATGACACGAACAGGTAAAGACACCTAAAAAACTTGAATGGGTAATTACACAACTCGCATGCACATATGACAAAAGAGAGGCTTTACACAATACATATTCTGTTAATTTAAACAGTGTTTGAGACGAGACACCATATACATCAGACACAAGTAACGCAGTTTAAGTTTTCAGAACGCGTCTCACAAACTAGCCTACGAACACATGTTCCCCGACTACACACAAGATACCTGACCTTGAAATCTTGTTAGAAAAAACTAAGCATACCTTGAACTCAGAACGAGTAGGTCGTTTCATGGAGACCTCCTTCTAAAAGTTATATCAGCCATGTCATTCATAATAAGAAGATTGTGGAGCAAAAATGTAGAAGCTGCAGTCGGAAATACAAAAAAAAAACAGGGAGGAGCAACAGTGATTCCTTTTCTTGCACTTATATTCCCTTCAGGAGCGAATTTAAATGGACAGTTTACGAATGTATCGAATTCCCAAAACATAAATCCAACGTACTCAATATTACGTTACAGGAATGAAAGTGAAGTAACCGGTGTTTTGTGTGCATTTCAGAAGTTAATTGTAATTAATTATGTAGTTTTCTCAATTCCCACATATTTAATACCTCATCATTCTGCCACGCGTCATGTTTCCCCTTGGCATAAAAAGATGCAATATTATGTTCACAATGTGTGTGCAACTAGTTTTTCATTACATTCATTTCTGGAAAAGAGAAGTAATGCTTTCGGCGTTGGTTCTGAAAGGCGGCACGTCGAATACAGTGGTGCCTTCACCAAAGTCATCCACTACAGCCATACGCGGCACACTGATGTTAAGTCAAGACATACTATGCAGGTTATTCAGTTCATATAAATAATAATCCGTCCAGCTGTTTTGTGGCTACAAGTTGACGCAACTAGCATACAGAAGTAGCGTACACAAACGCAGCCACCACCACTTAAGAGGATCTCAAACGTGAAACGCACAGCCTATCAGTAAAGTTGTGGAGTGATCAAGCTTTTCCCGCCGTCTTGAAGTTAAGCAGATGAGACTGCACACCTTCACTGCCCTCAATCAAACGAAAGACTACTCAGCTTCCTGCATGCTGTGCACAGTGTTTAGCCACGAGTTATGTAAGTAGCGGCCCAAATGCGAGATCACGTTTTAATGAGCCTGCAACCCTAAGCGTGGTATATCGCTTGGTCATTAAGCGAGAACGTAATTCACCCTTCTCTCCCTCCGTTCGCATTTCTTTGTTCCTTAATACTTCCAACCGTAATTAACGCTGGCTCAGTGCGAACACATTAAGGTTTTACGTCAGAATTCACCGTAGGTGCACGCAAAGAAAACGTGGGTGAAATGCAATGTGTCTTCGTGATTTCTCGTTCTCATCTTCAAGAAGATAAACTTGGTTTGCACATTTAAAAAAATTAAATGAAACTTCATTCTTGGTGGGGATTTTGGATGGGGTAAGTAAAAAGAAATTTTCAGCCAAACTTTAAAAATAGAGGTACACCCTTAACCTAAGCTTCGGACTACGTCATCACCCTAGGAGTGATATATGCTTATGGCTCCTTAGGAATATGATCTAATACGTGTTGGCCTTTGCCAGTGTGTTTCGTGTTAACCGGTACACCTTAAAGAAACTGCGTGTGCAAGACGCCTCTCCCCTCCCAGAACATCAGTTACGCTTCTTAGTTTGTTTGTTTGTTTTTTTTTTTCGTAATTTTACCCGCAGCTCTCTGCGCAGGATGTAATGCACGCAATTATATACGTAAGCAACACGCCATACCATTTGCGGTACGCCTGCAGATCAGTGGTGTTTTGGGAAAAAGTATCTCACTGTGTTGAGAAAGATGTGCGGAAGCTCGGACTTTGAAGGAAAGTTCATGAAAGAGAAAATTCGTATCTCACTCGTTTGCATACTTTGCCCTCGTTATACTCGTTTGCACGAGGCAACATCCCTGAAAAGGGCTGGTTCGGAGTTAATACCTCGGGCAATTGTTCACTTCTCTTCAATCTGCTTGTCTTTTTTTTTGTAACTAGCTTCATGCCACAAACGATTAAAGTATAACTTTTCATTTGTAATGTCTTACTGCATCGAGTAGTCTCGCTGCTTTGATGAACTCTCACACCATAAACGATGTGTTAATGCATAAGCGTAGTTCACAGTCCTTTTTAACATAGACAGCTTGTCTATCTGCTCTCCCTTCGTTTTTCTTCTGTCCATCTCCTGTCTCTAACAGAATGTGTAAACTGTGCCTATATATAGCACATAGACCAGACACAAGTGCAAGCGCGATCCTTGAGTTTGGTCTATGTGGTCGTTAGTTTACCCAGCTTACACTTTTTGTGAATCTGTAAAAAACTTCAACCAAAACAAGTTCTTCCAAACGATACGATGTCGCTAAGACAGTTTTTACGTGTTGGTCGGTCATAGCACGGTGCTTTACGCAACGCCCTTAAATGTGTCTCTACCAAGGGTACCAAAACGCTTATTAACACCGCTAATACGTCAAGCCCTGACACAGACGCAACGCCCATTCTTATCAGTTGACACGAATTTCTCCTCTCCCTCTCCGTAGGTATCTGGGTGCAGTCCTTGTGCCGAGGTTGGACCGGCGACAAACAAACAGGACACAGCACCTCGCCAAGAAAGCTAAGCAACCGCATTATATATCTTTTAACGTGGCGTCTCTGGAGCACGACGGAGCCTCTTCCACACTCTCTTCTATCTGGCTCTTGCATTATCTAGATTGCCAAGCAGCTAACCGTGAAGCAAAAAGCCGCCGCACCCAGACACGCAGACTCGCAGGAGTACACGTAACCCCTGCCTACCACTCCCCTTTCCCTCACTCCTTTTTGCTTCTTTCAATGCAGCCTCTCCTCCTCTTGCCACTTACCACAGACAGTGGGTAACACAGTGAAAAGGCCGAAGCACTCTCTTCTGTTTCCACACAATGGTGGCTCCTCTTCAGCGCATGACCATTCTCTCCCAGTTTTTCCATTACTAGTAGTTTCACTTCAGCGAACGACTCACACGTCCGGACTTCGGCGTAGTGCCGTCGACACGCAAACATACAGCGCGCACAGCCTGCCGATGCCACACCATGGCGAAACGGGATGAAAGTGCAGAGCTCTTTTGTTTTTTGAGCTACGAGATAGTGCGCCGAGGCGGCCGGAGATCAGGAGCCGAAACAGGGTCAGTGCACAGGGATGTGCGATAACGCGAAGCGTCACACATGATTTGCATTTTCCTGCCTTTTCCAACTACTATATGCTTTTTATACAATTCTCAGTCAAGTTTGTTTGGCTGGTTGCTTGTTGAATCCTAGTAGCGTAATCTATTCTAAGAGGGGGCCGCAATACCAACGACTCAGCGCGACTGAGAAATAAAGCTACTTCTTGAAAAATAAATTGAAACAATAGTGTAACTCACAGTGTAACTGAACAACTGGACATGAAGAGTTTTGACCTATCAGTCTCATAGCCACTTGATTAAAATTACACAATTATCTACAAACCCGCGCGGGACATGCCCCCTTGTTGATCACAGTACAGTGTCTAGAAATATACTGCCTAGTGTGCTGAGCGTGGGCTAGCAGATGGCCCGCAGTGGATGACTGCCGGCAGCACCCGCATGGTGCGCTGCTGTGCGAGTGGGTGCATTTGCGTTGAATCCTTGCACTCAGCAAGCGCTGCGAAGCCTGCAGGAGGCCGAGCCGCGCGAGGCCAACTATCATTTTCCTGCATTTTCGAAGTGTTTTTTTTTACATAATGATTTATTGTATAAGAACTACTCGATCGCTTTCATAGCACTGGCGCTTTGCAATACCAAATGAAGATCATTTCGTCGCATACATTTCGCCATCCGCTACTTCTCGCAAAAAAAAAAGACGCAGAGTCCACGTAACTTGGGAATTAATGCTATGCAAGGTGACTCTGTTGTAATTTCTAATTAAGTGAAACATTATGAAGTGGCGCTAAATATATGCAAAAAATTGGATATTCAACACTGGAACCAAAATTGGCGTTTCACGAACATTTGGCTCTTCTTGCGAAGTATTTCGAAGACCCTAAGTGGAGAAGGTGATCGTGAAGGCACCCAGGCATAAGCGATTTGATAGATAGATAGATAGATAGATAGATAGATAGATAGATAGATAGATAGATAGATAGATAGATAGATAGATAGATAGATAGATAGATAGATAGATAGATAGATAGATAGATAGATAGATAGATAGATAGATAGATAGATAGATAGATAGATAGATAGATAGATAGATAGATAGATAGATAGATACGCTCAAAGTCGCCAAAGTTCGCTAAGAAATGCTTCGCATTTAAAAGCGGTGTCAGCATATCCAAGGATTGCATGATGATAAGTTGGGTGAAGCTTCCGTCAGTCCGTCCGTGCTTCCGTGTGTCCATCCATCCGTTCGTCCATGCGTCCGTCCGCTTCACCCCACTGGTCATCATTCACCCCGTGGATAAGCTGTGCTTTCTAATTTTTTTTTATTGTGCGCAATGGCTGAGGCAAACGCTGGCGGCGACGGTGGTGAACCACGTAACAAACACACAAAAAAATCAGCATACCCACGGACTCACTGATGATGAGTGGGGCGAAGCATTTTTCAGTCTGTCCGTTTGTTCT